CAAAAGTGCTGGTTCTTATGCTTTAAGGCAGATGTGAGATTTTGGGGATATTTTCTCTCTTCCACCCTTTTTTAAATTCTCCATTGCCATTTTAACAGGCTCTGAGTATTAGGTAAACAGAAGTGTGATGCTTATAAAAGTGTAAGTGGCACAAGAGATATTGCTTCCTAATACATACTGTGGCCGTTGATCTTAGAGACCAGGAGGGTGGCAGAAGCATTCTCAGCCCCTTTCTTTCCAGGAAGAGAGCTCCACTTTTCCAGTTCAGGTTTTTAAGATATGGTCCTCTCACCAGAGCCCTCTCTTTATCTCCACTAGCAGGCAGGTGGGAAGTTGGTCAGGGTTCTTATATGTTTGTTAATTGACAAATATGGTTTAGCACAGTAAATAAATTAAAGCCATTTTTGAAAGTTTTGTCCTTGGCTCTTTACTTATATATATGTTTAGAAGATAGGAGTGGAGAGTTGAGTAATAGTTAGGCTTAAGCCCCCACAGGAGCCTCAGCTAGATTTTATACACAAGCAAGCCTCTCTACTGATTACAGTGCAGTGAGAGGAAATGGGAGAAAACACCAAGTCTTGGTTTCTTTCATTAAAGAAGCCTTTGGGAGAACACTCATCCTAACAAGTTAATGTTAATGTAAAAAATACTTCATGCCCTGGCCGGATAGCTCAGTTGGTTGGAACATCATCCCAACCCAAAAAGTTACAGGTTCAATTTCCTATCAGGGTACATACCTAAGTTTTAGGTTCAATCCCAGATCAAGGCACTTATGGGAGGCAACCGATCAATGTTTCTCTCACACATCTCTCTCTCTCTCCCCCCTCCCCACCCCATCTCTGTATCTCTCAAAGCAATAAAAAAAAAACCACATCCTTGGGGAGTGAGGATTAAAAAAAATTAAAAACAAATATGTTGTGGTTATCTGAAAGGAGTAATGATTCTCAGGGATACAAACTATTTGGCTCCTTGTCCAGTCTCCATTGATCCATATCCCACTTATAAAAGGAAGAAGAAGCCGGCTGTGAGTAATAATTGAAAAAGTTGATTTACTAAAAATGTTTTCTAAGACTGATTTGGTTGCCCATGTTAAATAAATTTAAAATTAAAAGCAGGGGTAGGAATGATGACTACAGAAGCATACATTCATGTGTTAAATTTGTGAAATTTCATCAGGTTATATACTTAAAGATAGGTGTACTTTTTATTTTTTAAAAAAGATTTTATTTACTTATTTTTAGAGAGAGGGGAAGGGAATGAGAAAAAGAGGGAGAGAAACATCAGTGTGTGGTTGCCTCTCACACACCCCCCACTGGGGACCTGGCCTGCCACCCAGGCATGTGTCCTGACTGGGAATTGAACCTGCAACCCTTTGGTTCTCAGGCTGGCGCTCAAGCCACTGAGCCACACCAGCTATTTTATTGATTATGGTATTACAGTTGTCCTATTTTTCCCCTTTGCCCCCCTCCACCTCGTACCCCCATTCCTTCCAGCAATCTTCCCACCTTAGGTCATGTCCATGGTGGTACATATAAGTTCTTTGGCTTCTCCATTTCCTATACTATTCTTAACATCGCCCTATTTTGTACCTACCAATTATGTTTCTTATTCCCTGTACCTTTTTCCCCATTCTCCTCCTTCCCCCTCTGTGCTGATAACCCTTCATGTGATCTCCATTTCTATGATTCTGTTCCTGTTCTAGTTGTTTGCTTAGTTTTTGTGGGTTTGTCTTTTTTTTTAGTTTCAGTTGTTGATAGTTGTGAGTTTGTTGTCATTTTACTCTTCATAGTTTTGATCTTCTTTTTCTTAAATAAGTCCTTTAACATTTCATATAATAATGGCTTGGTGGTGATGAACTCTTTTAGCTTTACCTGGTCTGGGAAGCACTTCATCTACCCTTCCATTCTAAATTATAGCTTTGCTGGATAGAGTAATCTTGAATATAGGTCCTTGCTTTTCATCACTTTGAATACTTCTTGCCAGTCCCTTCTTGCCCGCAAAGTTTCTTTTGGAAAATCAACTGATAGTCTTATGGAAACTCCTTCATAGATAGCTCTCTTCTTTTCTCTTGCTGCTTTTAAGATTCTTTATCTTTAACCTTTGGCATTTTAATTATGATGTATCTTGGTGTGGCCCTCTTTGGGTCCAACTTGTTTGGGATGTCTGAGGTTCCTAGACTTGTATGTCTATTTCCTTCACCAAATTGGGGAAGTTTTCTTTCATTGTTTTTTCAAATGACTTTTCAATTTCTTGCTCTTCCTCTTCTCCTTCTGGCATTCCTATGATGTGGATATTGGTACATTTAAAGTTATCCCAGAGGTTTCTAAGCCTCTTCATTTTCTTGAATCCTTGTTTCTTCATTCTGTTCCAGGTGAATGTTTATTTCTTTCTTTTGTTCCAAATCGTTGATTTGAATCCTGGCTTCCTTCCCTTCACTTTTGGTTCCCTGTATGTTTTTCTTTATTTCATTTTGTATAGCCTTTACTTCTTCCTTTATTTTGTGGCTGTACTCAATCATTTCTTTGAGCATCCTGATCACAAGTGTTTTTGAACTCTGCATCTGATAGGCTGGCTATCTCCATGTTGCTTAGTTCTTTTTATGGAGCTTTGACCTGTTTATTCATTTGTGCCATATTTTTTTATCTCCTCTATTTGGCAGCCTCCCTGTGTTTCTGTGTAGTAGGTAGAGCTGCTTTGATTCCCCATATACTTTTCTATATGAGTATTATACTTCAATAAAAACTTATGAGGCAAAAAAAAAAGAAAAGTGTTAGCAAACTAATAGGAATTTTTGAGCAATATGGATATATGCATTTATCAAAATTTATTGAGTGGTACATTTAAGATGGGGGGAGAGATATCTCATTGTGGTTTGCATTTCCCACAATAAGATATCACCTCACACATGTCAGAATGGCTATCATTAATAAATAAAAAAAACAGTAAGTTTTGGTGAGGATGTAGGAAAAAGGGAACCCTAGCACACTGTTGGTAGGAATGCAGATTGATGTAGCCACCATAGAAAGCAGTATGGAGTTACCTCAAAAAATTAAAAATGGAACTGCCTTATGACCCAGCGATTCCACTTCTGGGAATTTATCTGAAGAAACCCAAAACACTAATTCGAGAGAATATATGAACCTCTATGTTCATTGCAGCATTATTTACAATAACCAAGATCTGGAAGCAATCTAAGTGTCCATCAATAGGCAAATAGATAAAGAAATTGTGATACTTATATGCAATGGATGTCAATTATATCTCAACAAAAACATCTCATACATATATACAAATACTACTCAGCCATAACAAAGAGAGAAATCTTGCTATTTGTGACAACATGGATGGACCTAGAAGATATTATGCTAAGTGAAACAAGTCAGACAGAGAAAAACAAATGCCATATGATTTCACTTACATGTGGAATTTAAAAAAATAAACAAAGGAAACAAACAAAGTCATAGATACAGAAAACAAGTTGATGGTTGTCAGATGAGGATGGGAGTTTAAGGGTGGGTAAAAAAGAGAAAAAGATTAAGAAGTACAAATTAGCAGTTACAACATAGTCATAGAGATGTAAAGTACAGCATAGAGAATATAGTCAATAATATTGTAATAGAAGTGTATGGTGCTAGGCAGGTACTAGACGTATTGGAGGAAAACTCTGTAAGTTATATAAATGTTGAATTTCTGTGTTGTACACCTGAAACTAATATAATATTGTATATCAACTGTATCTAAAAATAAAGAAAAATAAAAAAAGATTTGTGCATTTTGTTGAATGTAAATTTCACCTGAAAAAAAAGAAGGAAGGAGGGAGGGAGGGAGGAAGCAAGAAAACTGGAAACAACCATTGAATTCTAGTTAATGACTTGCATGAGGAAGTCTTTTGGTGTGAAGTAAACTAATATCCACAACTTACTTTGAAATGCATCGAAAAAATGAAATGGATTGATAGATAAATAGGAAAATACTAATTGAAAAATATGAGTTGTAACTATATGGGTATTCACTGTACAATTTTTTCAACTTTTATATATATTTGAAAATCCTATACTAAAATATTAGGGAGGAGAATCTGAAGAAAGGAGAAAGAATTCTCCCCATTTCTTCATGAATATAAATGTTAGCTTCAGCCCATTGAGATTCAAGTGTATCAGCAGCAACTAGCAAGAGATAGGTGTCCAGCAAAAATAGTGCAATTACTGGGAGATAATGCAATGCCCAGTGGAACTGGTGGTGCCCAGGTGGAGATGACTTTGTGTGAACAAGAAGAGATTCCATCAGGACGCTGAAATGGCAAAGACACCAGACTGTAACCAGAGCAAGATAAGAAAAAAATGGTGGATGCTGTGAAGTAGATGTCAAGACATGTTCATGCACAAATGTGAGACATACTCTGGGGTTCGTACCCCAGGCTATCAGTACAACAAATATATTGGTTTTTCTCTTTGGGATTTCTATAAGCCACAAATGTTGAAAGTTCTTATCATTAGAATTGAAGAAATCTGCTGTGTTTGGCATGTTAAGCTGCAGAAAAGATTTTTATTCTTCTAGTTAAGATCAAGTTTTTTAACATAGTCCATTTACATGAAATATTGTATTTGTACTCAATGAAGAAACACTAAACATACAGGTAAATGAAGCAAATCAGAACATGTGCTTAAAGTTGGCACCTATGTTTGTCCTTGACACAGCTACACTAAATAAAGACACAGGCAGTAAAATGAAAGACTGCATATTTTCTCCATCATGCTTGTAGTTTCAGAGAGATGGTACTCTAAGAATTAGTTCATATCCAGGGTTTTCTGTTTGTTTTTTGTCATTGTTTTTACTGATATACAATTGATATATAACACTGTGCCTAGGGTTTTCTTCATTGTTAAAGAGTGATCTTAGAGAGAGAACTTTCATTTCCCCTTTGCACTCTAATCAACAGATACTGTAATTAAAAACTCACAACCTCCTACAATCATGATTCTCTTTCTACCTGTTTCTAGGGTTTTACTGATATTTTGCTAGAAAGAGTCATGCATGGGGGAGCCAACATTACAGGATTCCAGATTGTCAACAATGAAAACCCTATGGTTCAGCAGTTTATACAGCGCTGGGTGAGACTGGATGAAAGGGAATTCCCTGAAGCCAAGAATGCACCGCTAAAGGTAATGTTCCATGCCATGTAAACCCCTTAGGCCAGCTTTTGAAAGCATCTCAGTATGATCTTTACACATTTAAGGCCATTCTGTGATCAAGTGGTCTTCCCACAAAAGTGCCTTAAGGATGCTAACACACAACTTAACTGTAAGTCATGCTGCTGCATTTGAAAACTAAACTCCCAAATAAAAAAGCTATTGAGGGGGTCTTTTTAAAACCTTGTGTTGGAGAATGTTAACCTAATTTTGTAATGAATTTCATCTGTAATATGCTCATGACAATTTATTATGAGAGCCTGAGTCAGACAACAGGTGGGGGCTGTAGGGATAGCTAAAATTGGTAGTCTGAAATAGAAAATTAGATTTCACATTATTTATGTGATTGTTTTGTGTTAATACATTCTGTGAATTTCAGCACACCCACATGAATTAGGCTCTAATACAGAGTGTGTTGCCTATACATATACTGAACAGAAGTATTTTCCTGCCTGCAAAAAAGTATCTTTAAAAATAATTATCTAAGTTGCTCATTTTCATGAAATCAAGATAAGAATATTAAAAGTAGAAGGTCATGCATGCTTAAAGTGCAATTTTTCATGTGTGTTCCTCTATGGCTAGCAATCCTATTTTTTAAAAAAATCGAGAATTAGATAAATTAGAGGAAAGTTTTTCAAGTTACACAAAGGATCCTTCAAATGTGTTTTTTTAAATAAGCGTTTTTTTCAAGTATGAAACTAAGTTCTTCCTTCCTGATATAGTAAAAGTATATATGTACCATGGCTATGGGATCCCTGTGATCAAGACAAGGGTTCAAACTATAGTTGAGACCTTTCTCTAAAAAAGAAAGTGTAGTTGGGTACTATTTCTTTTCCCATGGTTTCAAGGTACCCATCCTCACAACCTCCCTGGCAATAACAGAATAAGGGAGAACAATGGGGACATAGACCAGGAAAGAGACACATTCTGTATTACCTTAGCAGGTCTACCCTGAAGGGGCCATATCAAAACATAATACAAGTAGGACCTTACTTTATATAGTTTATATGCCCTAGAAAAGTTGAAGTTAAACATAATTTATATTCATGTAAGCCACTCACTAACTAAGTGGTATTCTATGCTGTAGTGATTATAGTATACATGTTAGATTTTTCTAGAACAGTCTCATTTTAAAACATTTTGCCCACAGTAAGATCAGGTATCCTCATGTTTCAGTACATATGGTCACAAACCATATGATGACTCTTTTGCAGTCAATTTTTTTTTTGGTTTTTTGTTTTATTTTTTTATTTATACATCATGTTTATTCTATTACAGTTGTCTCAATTTTTACCCCTTTACCCCCCTCCACCCATACCACCCGCACCCCCTACTCCCACAACAATTCCTACTCTGTTGTCCATGTCCATGGGTCATTCGTACATGTTCTTTGTCTAGTCCCTTCCCCTTCTTTCCACCATTGTCCTTTTTCCCCATCCCCTCTCGTCATTTTCAGTCTGCTCCATGTTTCTGTGCCTGTGGTTTATTTTGTTCCTTAGTTTATCTTGTTGAATAGAGTCCACTTATAGGCGAGATCATATGGTATTTGTCTTTCATCAACTGGCTTGTTTCACTTAGCTTAATATTCTCTGCTTTCATCCATGTTGTCACAAAAGGTAGGAATTCCATCTCTCTTTCTTTCCTAAATGCAGATTGATTTTATTTATTTTTTTAATGTCAAAGTTAATTATAAAACATTTTAAAATTTTTAAACTATTATAAAATCTCAGCGATTTAACCAACATGACACCACCACAGAAATAATCAAATAGATCAATGAAATATAATGAGCATTCTAGAGACAAATGTCTGCCTAACAATATAATATATGATTAAATTGATATTTCAAATCAATCGGTAAAATAAGGCTTATTCAACAAATAAGGTGCATGGACCACTATTACTTGAAATAAAACAAGTATAGAGCCCTATTTCACACATTATGCAAGAAATGTTCAGGTGAGTTAAAAATCAATATGTAGAATCTAAGGAGTTTTAGAAGAAAATAGAACTAATATTTTTCATGACCTGAAGTAAAATATTCAAACCCAGAAGCTATAAATATTGACAATATGACTACATTAAACATTTCACTATATAGTAATATACATATTAAAAAATTAAAGGACAAGGAATAGAATTGAAATGTATTTGCAACACATCTAAAACATGGTTAATAGGGTGTTTTTTTTAGGGAAAAAAGTTTTACAAACCTTTAATTGATATATGGACAAAGAATACCAAAAAGTCATTTAAAGCTTTTTAAAAAAAATAATAGAAATAGGCAAGAAATATACTAAAACAGGTTTACTTTCAACAAATAATGAAGGAACAATTAAAATAACATCATTATCACAATCAGATTAATGAGTACTAAAAATATTAGTAATATCAAGTATTGGCAACTCTGAAAGAAACTGGGTATTCATAGAAATTATTATTCATCTTAAAGCAATCCCTTTAGCATATTTTGCAGTGCTTGTTTGGTGGAGGTGTATTCTTTTAGCCTTCTTTTGTCTGGGAAACTCCTTATTTTGCCTTCCATTTTAATCGAGAACCTTGTTGGGTGGAGCAGTCTTGGTTGCAGGCCTTTATTTTCATGACTTGGAGTATGTCTTGCCATTCCCTTCTGGCTTGCAGTGTTTCTGTTGAGAAGTCAGCTGCTAACTATATTGGGGTTCCTTTATATGTTACTACCTCTTTCTCCCTTGCTCCTTTTAGGATTCTCTGTCTTTGATATTTGCCATTTCAATGATGATGTGTCTTGGAGTGGGCCTCATTGGATTCCTCTTGAATGGGATCTTCTGTGCTTCCTGGACTTGTGTGACTTTTTCTCTCCTCCAATTAGGGAAGTTTTCCATCATTACTTTTTCAAACAGGTTCTCTATCCCTTCCTCATCCTCTTCTCCTTCTGGTATCCTATTATACAGATATTATTACATTTCAGGTTGTCCTGCATTTCCCTCAACGCCTCTTCATTCTTTTTCAGTCTTATTTCATTTTCTTGCTCGTTCTGGGAGCTTTTTTCTACCTTATCTTCCAGCTTGCTGATTTGTTCCTCTGCTTCATCTAGCCTGCTTTTGATTCCTTCTCCTGTGTTCTTCAATTCAGAAATTGTATTCTTCATTTCCTCTTGTCTCTTATTGATAGTTTCTATGTCCTTTTTCATGCTGATATAGTTTGCAGTAAGTTCCTCGTAGTTTCCCTGTAGTTTTTGGTAATTCTCTCTGAGCTCACTGAGCTCATTGAGCTTCCTTAGAACTGTTGTTTGGAACTCAATATCTGATAGTTTACTTGCCTCTATTTCATTTTGTTCTCTTTGTGGGGATTCCTCCTTTCCCTTTGAGTGGAGCGTATTTCTTTGTCTTCCCATTATTTGTGAGACTCTTCTTTTTTGCTTCTGATTCTTAAGTTGATCTGTCTTGATTTCCTGACTTTGTGATGTGTACTTCCGTGGTAGGATACTGCTGTTTTTACTTTCTGGATCTGCCTCTGATGGTGTCAGATGTTGACCCTGTCTGACCTTAAAGAGTCTGTTCAAGACTTCCAGTAATCTACTGTTTGTGGCTGTCTCCTTCAGCTGTTAATCTAGTCACTCTACACTCAGCAGGTCGCCTTAGACAGCTCAGAGCGTGGCGGAGTCCCTCCTGGGGCGGGGTTATTGGGTCCTCTCATGCCACTGCCGTATGGGGGAGAAGTCAGCACTGGGATCCCCCCAGCTACTCTCCTCTCTCTCCCCAAAGCCTCCATCCCCAGTTTCTCCCCAAGTGTCTCCAGACCTCTGTGTGCCCCCTTTAGCCAGGAATCTACTGTCTGTAGCTGCCACTCTGCACTCAGCAGGCAGCTTAGACAGCACAGGGCGGGCTGGAATCCTACCTGGGCATGGGGCTATTGGGTCCTTTGATGCTTGTGTCACTCAGGGGAAGTGGTCTCTGCCTGAGTAAGATGGCTGCTGCTGCATGGGGTATGAGTCCGCACCGAGATCCCGCCGACTACTCTCCCAGTTCTCTCCCCATAGCCTCCTTCCCCATCTCTCCTCAGGCGTCTCTAGCCCACTCTGTCCCCACCTTTGCCAGAGACCAAGGTAAGTGGCTGCAAATAAAAATTTTGCGTTGGCCCTTTAAACAGTTCTTTGAGTCTCCAGCCGCGTGTCTCTGTCAGAGAGCAACCCTACTGCTTTTCACAGCTGGCTGTTTTCTGTGCACTTTTTGGGCTCTGGTGCTGTGGGCTAGAGATCCCCACTTTTGGTCTAGACCCCACTCTCCTCAGGGGGATCCAACTGGCTCTTTCAATATCTTTCGGGTGCTGCCGCCCATGGGTGCCCCGCCCGCCTTCTCAGGTCTGTACCGCACTCCTTACCAGTTAGGTTGCACTAAAGCCGATTCTTCTGCCTCCGAGGTTACAAGGCCCCTCTCCCGCTTTGTTCAGTTACTTGTTCCAGGTGATTTCTCCACAATTTAGTTGTAATTCCAGGATGGTCCTGGGGGAGGTCAGTGTGACTTCCACTTACTCTTCTGCCATCTTGATTCTCTCAAATATTTTTTAAAAGATTATTTTTGTTGAGATATAATTGACATGTATTAGTTTTAGGGATACAACATAATTATTTGATATATGTGTATATTATGAAATGATTGCCAATCATCTTAAGTTTAGTTAACATCCATTACCGCCACAGCTACAATTTTTTTTTCTTTTGACGGAGATCTTTTAAGATTACTCTTAGCAACTTTCAAAAATACAGTATAGTGCTTTTTCGCAACGGGTTTGCCGCCAGAACACAGGTGTCAAGAAAACCACCACTAAATCAAAGCCAAAATGGGAAAGGAAAAGACTCACATCAACATTGTCATCATTGGACATGTAGATTCCGGCAAGTCTACCACTACTGGCCATCTGATCTACAAATGTGGTGGGATCGACAAGAGAACCATCGAAAAATTTGAGAAGATGGCCGCTGAGATGGGGAAGGG